TATATAATATATATATTATTATTATATATATATATATATATATATATATATATAAATATATATATATGAACACCCATATTCATTCACCATTTTTTCAGTAAGAACGAATAGATAAATGATGGCGGTTGAGAACAGAAGCGCTCACATTGATGAGGACTCGGGTGTGACTGTAGAAGATAACAGAATCGATGATACAAATGTTAAAAATGAACAAGTCGACGAGTCATCGGCTTCTAAAGGGAAGGGCAAGATGAAGCGTTTGTTTAGCGTCAAATCTATAAACAAGCTGTCCTTCAAAAATGACACACAATCATATAAAGATATCGCAGAGGAACGCGCGGCGGAGATACAGACTCTAGAAAGTAGGATTGCCGAGCTAACACACGACGTACAACAATTGACTCAGAATGCTGAGGCAGCCCAAGAAACTGAGGCGAGTCTGAGAGCTGAAATTTCACAGTATGAGATTGCATCTGAGGCAGCGAAACAACGTGAAGCTGAGCTACTAAAACAATCAAAGGAACACGCTGACCGACTAGAAGCAGAGGAACAAGCGAGAGAGCAAGAAAGAGAGCAAGTGAGAAAAGCGGAAGAGGCCAAAGCAGCTGTAAAGACTGCCGATCACTTGCGTGATGTGGCATCGGAGAGGTCGCTGAAAGAAAAGGTGTTATTCTTTCTTAAAGAGATGCCTATTGCTGGAGGATACGCCGCATGAACATTGAAAAGCTACTGTTACAGATATGTTGTAAATATTAGTCAAAAAGATATATATTTGTGCAAAGTCTTCTTGGCTCAATATTAGTAGGCTGTGGTTTGTGGATGAATATAAACTTAGTTATTTTTATGAGTGCATAAACCTGGTTGTCGACCAGGTTTTGTCTTCTTTTTTTTAAATGAATGGAGCCATTTTGGTTCCGCAATTACTATTTTAAAAACTGGATGTCATGCCTTAATTTGGGCGGGCTCTGTTTTTTATAATTATAAATGTTTACTGTAAATGAGTAATCGAGATTCGGGGTTATTTCACAGCTGTATGATTTGTGGTTTTTTTTTTAGAACAGATTTTTTATTTGTTTGAAGAATAGTTGTAGAGAGTCAATTAACTCAGTACACAACACCGTAGCTGCCGAGCACGTGCTAAAACATATCCTATTGGTTTACAGCCCCTCTTTCGTTTGAAGGTTCTTGTCTTATATTGGTGTGCCTGAGGGAAAAAGCTGGCCCTGTCTCGTTTCATGCTTTGATTGGCGAAACGATGTTATTTGAGAATAGAGTCTATCTTTTTGAAAATAATTGTCATAGAATGTTGGCATTTTTATAATTGGTTTAGAGTGGCCGGTGGTGGCGACTGCTCTCCGCTGGCGACTGCTATGTGCGATGCCTATAGTCCCAGTCGGGGCCCAGTGCCCTACTCATACGACTGCGATGGCTCTGTTTCGGGCTTTCGGCCAAAGAGACTGTGTCATTGTTTTCAGGGTTGTCCCAAAACCAATACTTTTTTTTTAAAAATGGCCCCCTCAGTGAGTCAGTGCCAAATGCCAGTTCGGAGTAATTTTCAGCAACAAATTCGATATCACGTTCTTTGACGTGCAAATGCATGATAGAAAATTGTAAGCAATAAAGTGTAATCACTTTGTACTACGCAGCTAATTACCATTCTGCCGCTCTCCCCGCTATATCCTGTATCATAGCCACTAACACCGTTTTGATATCACCTCTATATCATACTACTTAGTTTTTGCTTTACTAACATTCTCTCGCCAAAGAGTTTCACACCGTGTATACACCGGTGATAGCTTGCGGCTTCAATTCTATATTCTATATATAAGAATTATAAGTTCGCCTCCGCGTCCATCCGTCCTTTGCGGATCCTATGATGAACGCTGTTGGTGTTAACGAAACAAGATTAGATTACATCAACGTTACCATCTGGAAATCATCCGGGTTGTAGTCCTTGGAGGATTAACAGCCGAACTCACCTTTAAGGCCCCGAACAATAGTATACATTTCTCCGGTCATATTGACTGTTTAGTTAGGACCATCGCATCACAAATACAATGTTCCTTGAATCGAAAACACCCTCACAATCATCTTATCTAGATTACCTCTATAGTGCAGAAGCCTTAAATGCACCTTGGAAGGTACCTAAACCAGCCGCAGTTAGGGCATCGCCGCCTATAGCGCCAGCGAAATCAACCCCACCATTAACACCATCCCCGCCATTATCAGCAAAAGTGCAGCACAAGCCTATCTTGCCAAATACTGTACTGCAACAAGCACCGCGTGTGAATTTACTACACCCGCATCCGCACCCACACCCGCACACTCAGTTGTTGCCCGACCAGGCCTTTCTGAACTACATCAACTCAGTGTCCCCCATCTTTCCCCTGGGAAACTTGGATGGCGACTTGCATCTGTACATGATGGCCGTAGCAGAGTCCGCAGCAACCGCAGCTTTTGCACTGGGAGGTCTATCCCCTAGCAATGACTCGGGTTTGGCCAGGAACAAATTCACGCTTAAAGAGGTTTTAGAACGCTCTGCCCCGATCACTGGGAAGGAGAAGCGCATCTGTCTCAACTGCTGGACTGCTGACACGCCTCTATGGCGTCGCAATCACTTGCAGCAGTTTCTCTGCAATGCATGTGGGCTTTATCTCAAGTCCACAGGTGTGAATAGACCTCAAAAAGAATTCAAAAAGGACGACAAGAGCCTCAACAGCGTCACCGGAAATGCGCCCGGTGCAGCCGCCGTGGCATCGCCCGTGTGCGACAACTGCCAGGCTATGGAGACCTCGCAGTGGCGTCGAGATAAAGACAACAACATGCTATGTAATGCATGTGGGTTGTACTACAAGATGCATCAGAAATGCCGACCCTTAAGTAGCGCCCGGAAGTCGGCTGCGAAACGTACGCGCCGGTGGAATCCATCGGCGCATGTGCTGAAGGCGATGGAGGAGGCTGTGGCGTCGAGCACGGCTGCGCAGAACAGCAACGGAGCCATCGAGTTCATATCGTCGCCCATGTGCACCTCCGTAGATACGACTAGCGCTACTGCCGCAACTAGTCAAGGAGAACACCAGTTTCCCCAAGCCCAGTCATCCGCTCAGGCCACCACGGCCAGTGGTAACGATGGCAACATGCAGTCGGATGCGTCTCTGCAACACACTTGGAGCCAGTCGAGCGCGATGTCAGACCCACTACCCAACGGTTTCGAACATCAGCAGCACACTCTCTACCAAGACCTTGCCGCCACATTCAACTCCACCGCTATGCCCACGGGACAGACGTCCAGTGTGCACAGTGCGGTGTCGTCGCCCATGTCTGGCACACTCGATGCCGACATGAACGATCCCTTTAGCAACAACGCGCATCTCTCTCCCAGTCTGGACGGTGCTACATCAGCTGACCTGGACGGCCAGACCCACGGTGTAGTATCGTCGCACACAAGCACCGCCCGGTCGGAGCGAGCTCACTTGTTTGACACGCACATGGACACAATGAACAGCATGAACGAGCACGCTATCAATAGCATGAACGAGCGCATCTTGCAGTCTGCAGCGTCGAGTAACCTCATGGATCTGGCCCACCACGCCAGTGCCGCATCCGTGCCGTCCCCATTCGATTCGGTGAATCGCCATGGTCAGTACGCATACGCGCAGGCCCAGGTGCAGGCTCCCTCGTACCACAACCAGCCGAGTCACTCGTCTTTCACGCACAACGTGCAGGCTATGATGAACGGTGCTGCTAACAACAGTCCTGCACCGATGGCCAAGAAATATGTACCTCCCACGAACTCGGACGACCTGGTTAGTCTGGCGCTGTCGGGTGCGTGTCCCACGTTACCCGGGCTCAAGGCACAGGGCATGTACGAGAGCAATGGTACAGGTAGTAGTACGGAGAGGCATCTGGATAGTAGTAACTACACGGGCAAGTCCCCTGTGTACAAGCACCCTTCGGCGTCTGCGGCGTCGCCGTACGCACACCCTAACCGACAGAGATACGGCGTAAGCTCGCTGCAGCAGGCGCATTCGAACATATCGCAACTGGACACGTCTCCCTTGGACTTGTGTCTGTTTGGGATAGTCCCCAGAAGCATGCCCAACTTCTCGCTGCCCATGGTGCAGTATGAACACCAGCAGCAGCAGCGAGACGTAACGCAGCATGTACACGAGGGCACGGGGGAGGTTTCTGCTCAGCAATTGGCGGAGACCAGCTCGTAGACGGCACAGTTTGTACATCTACATATATTATGCAATCATCTTTACACATGCGGCTCCATACGCAAGTGTACCTGCATTTTGTATATTAGAGAGTCTGGATGATGCAGTTCGGCACCACTGTTAGTGAATGGACAGGAATTGGAGAGTCTGTACGGACAGTAAGAAGTTAATTAGAACACACACACACGTATAGAAGAAATTACACGAGAAAAAAAGGAACATATAGCACGATTGCACCCCTACATCACATATACGCGTGACATACGCTTTGTTAAGAAATGTCCCAATTTTTCTGCTTCGGTAGGAACTTGTCCACGACATCAGAGTATCACTTGCTAAGAACACGTTCCGAGAAATCCATGGCTATACACGATAGTAAGTATGTACATATGATGCCACGGCGGTGTGTCTCTGTACCACGGATACTCGTCTACGACGCTATCTTATCACGGAGCGCGTATATGCTAGAATGTAACTTTGTAATAGTTTTAGAACAATCAAATAAAAACGAAAAAGGGAACAATTTGTGTTCTTGTGGCTTGGTAGCATACGAGATGTACCATTCAAACAATGCCTCTCCTTGTATGCTGCACTCTCTAGGAAAGGTTAACGGAGTGAGTAGTAGTCTGCCGGAATTCTTACTTCAGTTGCATACCTCCAGTGTGGTGTATGTTATAGGGGTCTTGCGCTGTTCCATTGCATGTACTTCCTATCAGCATCTCAGCTTGCTGCTGCACCATTCAGGTAGAAGCGGCATACTTCAACAGATGTCAGTGCATAAACAAGGCTCCAGGGTTGTTGGGGTGTGTTGTAGAAGTATTGGACTGTGCGTGTCACAAGGTCTCTGACTATGTTCTACTACAACCAGGCCTAAGCACGGCGCACCGAAGTGTTACTCTATTCGTTACAACTTATGCTCGTGTCTGCAAGGTGTAGTATACGTGTTTATCACATCTAAGAAGACACCCCTCATGCTGTCAGCGTCGGTGAGCAGTGATCGACTCACGAGAGCACCTCATCAAAGTAGTTTTGGTTATAAGTAAACACATGTATGTCATGCGTGAGTGTGTGCATATAGATAAAGAGTTTAGGTCAAGAGATCAGTGAAAACATGTATGTCATGCGCCTGTGTGTACTTATAGATGTGACGTTAGGTCAATGGCGAAGTAAAAACATATATGCCATGCGTGTGCACACGCTTCAGCAAGTAAGTTTAGGTCAATAACTAAGTAGAAACATACGTGTCGTACGTGCGTGTGTGCGTGTACACGCTTCAAGAAGTTTTAGATGTGTGGTTATGATATCGCTGTCCATACAGAAGTCATACATAAGTACATGTACGATTACTATACGGATTCATCTACCTATGAAAAAATTGTGGATGTAGGTATGTGCTAAATCCGTCGGTACACGGTTGCAACTGTACTTCTTTACTTCAGTACATATGTCTCACAGTTTTATACTGAACACTGCACAGCCGACAAATCAATTTATATTTTACATCTATGCACACATCTATACTGTGTTGCGTGCCCATCGATTTGATTATAGTTAGATCATATATGCACGCTTATCCGACAGCTAGTGTATACACTTGCATATACCAACCAACCAAACTGTCTGTCTGAGACAGATACACCTATACATGCCAGCTCGTGGTACAAATTCACAGGCACAGGTTATGTGCGATAGCAAGTCTGTTTCTATATACAGATATTCCCACTTATCCACTGGTAGGCATATATGGTTGTTAGCTATATTGTATATACATGGACATATTTTATTGTATATGCATGACTTAAAGAAACATATTTAATCCAGTTGTACTTTAACGCTGAAGCACATATGCATGAATACGTTATATTCGTGCCAATACTCTCCGTACGCATATTGACTAATTGTAGAATATACATTTTTACATACGAACTCAGCAAAACTATCATACGCAGGTGTTCTGGACTACCATGCATCGACACCAACACCACAATTCATTTACATATCCTAAATTGTGCTGGTACATAGAGCCTATACGATGACGTATACACTCTCTATTAGTTTAATTTGGAATTCACGTGCAGTGTGCATCCGCTGTGATTTACTATATCCAATCTCTCTGTGAACATTCCATTTTTGACCAGCACATATCCACAGACCAATAAAGATCGCTGGATTACTAATGTCTTCCCACCTCAGTCACATGCATTCATGACTGACAACTGGGTGTTAGTTTATTCTCAGATGGTACCTTTATTTGCCTACAACTCGTACTGAACATTTCCTAATCTTGGGCAAACCCTTCTTCTGAGTCTTAATACTTCTTAACACACACGTCTGTGAGCTTACAACTGATACAGGAACCGAATACCATTTTCGTATCTGGACAAGATAGACCCAACAGCAATATTGAATAGCGTACTCTCGTACCACATAATAACATCGCAGACCATTAAATAGAATCAGCGCAGCGTACAGAGATTATGTGCATGTTCGTTTCCTGCGATAGACTATAGTGTGGTTGTGTATATACACTATACAGTTCAGAAGGTAACAATGGCTACATACACGACTGAAACAGTAACATATGCAAACCCGACCCCAAGGCAAAGAAGCTGAAGCCTTCATAGACTTTACTCATACGGCAACTCCGGGTTATTAAGCTGTAGCACCGGCATTTCGCTTCAAGCGAGCCAGAGAGGTTACTTCATGCGCACACAAGTGATCTAAATCTAATTGACAATTGTCTCTGTCGGTGATGCTGGCCTCAGCCTCAATAGCTAATCCTGGATAGTCCCGCTGGAATACATACAGCGCTCGGGGCACGTGGAAATCCGATGTGACCAAGACCACACGTGTGGGTTTCCGTTCTGCAAGAAGATTGTTCATCAGTGAAGAGTCTTCGTATGTATTTCCGCTGTCAATTGTACCTACTATAGCGGTATCATGTATTCCTAATGACTGTAAGTGCGCACGCATATAGTGGTGGTGTGCGTGTGGAGCCTGATTAAAGTGGTCGCCATGTCCACCCGTAAGCACAATCTTCGCATTGGGATTGTGATAAAGTACATCTATGCCCTTGGCGGCTCTTTCGCGTGCCACTGAGTACAGCGTCCCATCAGGTGCATTGGGCGATCCTAAGATGACGATTAAGGTATCTCCTTGGCATTCACTCATCGCTTCTGAAGTGATGTAGCACACACATACAAGAGAGTGGTCTATTATCCACCGCTTTTACAGTGTTCGCGTATATAAATACAGTCATACAGCACAGATGACTAGATTTTAAAAATTGAAAATCTCGCGCAGATGTACGATTGTACTCTTTGAGTCCTAGAGTGATGAAAAGCGATAACCACAAAAAAAAATACGAACAGGTTCTGTGACGACCTTTGTGGTGTTTACTGTTCAGACTAGATGGGTTCAATATTTGCTTAGAGCTGCACAGCGGGGAACTACTTATTAGATAGAAAATCAGCTTCTACATCGTGACAAGGAAAGCTCCGAAACAGTTCAAAGAACACTGTTTCGTTATGTAACGTAGCAATGGGATTGTCCCAAAAATCAAGATTATTTTAACTTCTTCGAGCATAGAATATCTACATCGTGTCATATCAAATTCAGTGAGTGAACTCGTTCTGCAGCGTCACCGAGCTGCCTATTCCAACCTACATTAAACTCTGAATATTCTTTCTCCGTGTGCTCTATACGGTTTTGTAGTGGAAAAGTGCACACAGAGACTGTGGTCTGCAAGTACGTTCTTGGGGTAAATACTGACCACACAATACAACAGTTTAAACAGTTTATCTCTTAGTTGAAATGGACATTATAAGGTAGATCGGAACTACAATTTTTTTTGGATTGAATCTACATTATTAAAAATAGTATAAAATGAAGATTCTCGAAGAAGCTTCATTTGCATCATGTCGTGAAGTTCGAATTTCTTGAATAGGTGACCGCTTCATAGTACAAAACAAAGATTCTCGAAGCAGCTTAATTTGCATCAGACTGTGAAGTTCGAGTTTTTTGAATAACAAACCGCTTCAAACTATAAAAAAACTGAAAAGAGTTCGTGTGGCAAGATATAGCCTTTTATACGAATAAGCTGTACTCTCGACTTCGAACAACATGACTATCTATATATATAT